AGTTCCATGTATTTTCAAAGTCTCAACATAATGCTTTTTGCCTCGTCTGAATTCCTATAGGATTTTTTGACTCAATAGCTCCTTTCTCCCATCGTGATCATAGGAAGTAAAAAGGCATGGCAGAGAATGGTTGAGTAAGAAAAAGGTCTTAGAATCCTTTAGTGAAGTTGTCATAAGCAAAGGCATATTTTCTGGGCAAGGACAAGATTAATACGTTCCTTTACTAATCCATTTATTTATTCATTTCTGAGTTCTGCAAAAGGGCATGAGCTCCCACAAAGCATGGGGACAGTGCCAGGGTGGCTGTTTATGCCGCTGCTCACCCTGCCTGGGTCCTGGACTGACCTGGCCCTGTTGCTCCTAGCCTGGTGGTACTTGTTGAAAAGGATCAGGCCTGGCTCAAGAAGTTGGGTATGGAACATTTGTTTACAGTGAAGGATCTGTGTCACGGAAGACTCACCCTCATGCCCACTCAACTTCTCAACAGACCTCTTCCAGAAGGACCGACCCAGTAGGGTAAACAGTAACTCCAACACCCTCAGAGACAATATGTTTTGATGTTTTAAGAAGAGTCATGTCAACCAGAACTACCTCTACTTTAACATCTCTTCAGGGCAATCACAAGACAGTCTTGAAAGTTGAGCTCCATGTGTTCAAACTCCGGCATTTGCCCAGGACCCTGCTCATGACAAGGCTTATCATTAACACAGGACAGAAGTCAATTAGGTTCTGCACCCATGCCAGAATTAGACAGAGGGAGCCTACTTTCTACTGAGGATCTTCCTCTGGCCTCTGAAGTCTAGCCCAGATGGTGAGTAACTGGATTCTGGGAAACACCTTAGCCCAGAGCTTTCTGGGACAGACTATGAAGCCACCAAATTACAGTTACCACAGGACCCAGTGGAAGGGGATCACAATGATAACAGAAACTTCCTACTGGTTCTCTACCACCAACAAGGGCAAGACTTTGTTATTGCTAAAGGGACTACCTGTCCTTGTCCATCGTGCCACACTCACTCTGAGAGATGAAGTCTGTCCCAGGAAGAAGTGCCTACCAGCCATATCTCAGGTATCACAGACAGTGGCTCCAGAGTGCCAAGCACAGCTTGAAATGATTTGTGTTGGCCAGAAGTATCTGTTCTACATAGACTTCCAGGGATATCAGCCGTAAGGACAGGGATATTCCATCCCAAGGCTTGCAAGTCAATAACTGCAAATCAGTGACTGTACCCACTGGACAATAGGTCAATACCAAAAACCTTTGTTCACACCCTGGCACACAGCTCCACTTACCTGGGGACATAGAGTGGGAGAGAATGAGGAGGAGGGAAGTGATATCTATCAAGGAACCTGCAACTAGAGGTCCCATTCTGATAGACTGTTTAACTCCCGATGGCAACTGAAGAAGTAGGTAATTCTCTCTAAGCCTCAGTATATCTATCTGTAAACTAGAATCACCTTTAGGATGTTCAAGGTTCTAGAGAAGGCACTGGGAAGGGGAATATCACATAAGTTTGAGGGAGGGGTGGTTCTTGCCTGTGTTATAGCTTATTCTGCAGTGATTACTCACCACAGTATCCCCAGGACCTAGCAGAGTGAATGGCACATATTAGGCCATCGTTACGCATCAAATGAAAAAAATGAATGGATTGAGGGTTCTGTAGTCATTCAGTCTCTCAAGGGCCATGCAGGAGTTGTTCAAGGTTGGGAGGATAGCTATATTTCTTTTCTGCCTCCCTACTTCCTTCCCCGGTTCTTAGTTTACACACATCTTAGCTTGGGCCAGAGACTGTGACTCACTCTCTGCCCCTCCAACCCACACAGTAGGCCATGTCATGGGAGCTGTGAGTGGTTGTCTTGGGACAGTGGTAATTCAGAGAAGTTAAATGAAGACTCTTAACATCATCCCTGCCTTGAGATCTGGAGCATTGGATTGGGGTGGAAGAGAAGGATCAAGAAGTTGGAGTCAGAAATCTGGGGCCTACTAGACTCCTATGAGAGCCCTCTGCCTTGTTCAAGCTCAGGCCTGGATTACTGTCTTGAGGCCTGTCTCAGGAGACCTGGGAGTAGGAAGGCGAGGTTAGGACAGTGGAGATGGAAGAAATCTAAACATGTTTACTGGAGCTAGGTCCTCGAGCTCTCCAGGGCTGTGCTTTTCACCACCCTTCCTATGCCATGGACATCCATAACTGACATGGAAGACCCAGAGCCCATTTTTGCAGAACCAAGTAACAGGGCACCTGCCTCCCCCATGGCTTGTGGCTGGGTATAGATGGTCAAAAGACCTTTTTGATGGCTACTCTCCCTGCCTTGCAATTCCTGCCAGAGTTCCAGGTGAGACTGCCAGGGATCTGGTCCAATCACAACCAGAGCTCCTGGGTTGTCACGAAGCCTCCTCTGTGTCACCGAGTGGTAAGAAGATAATGATGTCTTCCTCACGGGTTAGCTATTTATCTGTCTGTCTGTCATCCTCATTCCTCATCCTCCCATACTCTGCTCAGACGTCTGTTCCAACTACCTTCCTAAGGTTCTGCATATTAGGGGGTACTGCTGGGAGATCAGAAATTACCAGTGGAGGGGCACCTGGGTGGCTCAGTTGGCTAAGCGTCTGACTTCAGCTCTGGTCATGATCTCAGGGTCCTGGGATCAAGTCCTGCATTGGGCTGTTGCTCAGTGGGGAGCCTGCTTTTCCCTCTCCTGCTCCTCCCCCCCCATTCTCTCTTGTTCACTCGTACACTCTCTCTCAAATAAATAAATAAAATCTTTAAAAAAAAGAGAAATTACAAGTGGAAAGAAGTTATTATTCCTCCTTTTGCTTTTTCTTTCTCTTCATTTGTTTCTGGTAGCAACTGTGGAAGTGGCTCTATTGCCTTGATGATCCCAGCTTTGGTGGCAGCAGTCCTACCTTGATGGTCCTAGTAGCGACCGTGTGCTCCCCTCTCTATGGGGTCAGCACTGCTGGGTGGCCCATCCCGTGGCTCCAGTATCTGCTAAGTGTCCCATCTTCAACCGTAACTGCATGGTGCACAACACACTCACAAACCAGCACAGCAGTATTTTCTGAAATCTGGAAACACCAATCCCTTCCTTTTTTTTTTTTTTTAAAGATTTTATTTATTTATTTGAGAGAGAGAGAGAATGAGAGATAGAAAGCACAAGAGGGAAGAGGGTCAGAGGGAGAAGCAGACTCCCTGCTGAGCAGGAAGCCCGATGTGGGACTCGATCCCGGGACTCCAGGATCATGACCTGAGCCGAAGGCAGTCGCTTAACCAACTGAGCCACCCAGGCGCCCAACACCAATCCCTTCCTTTTGTTCTCTAGTCATATTTCCTTCCTATAGTAAATAATTCCTGGGTTACTTCTCCTCCTGTGGCCTGGCTTCATCTCTTCAAGTCCTTTATAACTAGTTCCCTGTATTAAATGACTTCTGTTTGTTTTTCTAGTCGTATCCTGTCTGCTACACAAAAATTAAGGAAGGTGGTTATTCATAGGTAGAAAACAATTTTCTCATTTTTCCCCAAAAGACATAGAAAAAGAATATATAAGAAATGAAATTAACACATTAATACATTATTTTCTATTACAGTTACCTAAGCACTACCTTGTTGATCATAAAATTAGATCATTGTTGTAATATTATTTTTCTTGAGTAAAAACACATGTCCATATATGATATGTCATCTCCATTGGAACTGAATTTATGCATAGGTCAAATTAATTATGAATAATGTTTGACATCTGAAATCATTGTACTCTCTGAACCATTAGATACATCTTCTTGCCATAATGTATCAGATTAAATGTGATATTTCCACACACACAAAAATGCTGTGTTCTTCTGTGGAAGTATCCATTGGGGAGGTGTAGCATGGCTCAGATCTAAGGGAAGCTAACTTGCAAACTGAAGGACTCCTCACTCCTGCTACCAAATGTCTGCACAAGTGACATCATCAAGAAACAATTTATCTGAAAAAGTTTTAAGAGAGTTGTGATCTAAATGTTAATCTGCAGAGAAGTAGGTGATGAATGGTGATCCAGCCGCCCATCCGTCCAGCACAGACAAAGCTATGGAGTCATTGAAGGTGATGTTTATCTATAATTATTGACATTTCAAGATGTACACAATATATTGTTGAGTGAAAAATCGGTTATAAAATTTACACAGTATGATTGCATTTTTTTGTTTAAAAAATATTCGTGTGTAACAAAAACACCGGAAAGTACAGCAGAAATAATAGTGATTATCTCCTGTTAGTGGGATGGTGTGTGGTTTTTTTAATTTTCTCTTTACCAAGTTGTTTTTTTACATTTTCTGCAATGAAGATATATTAATCTTGTTTAAAGGGAAAATTTTAAGTTGGTTAAAAGACAAACAGGTGTGCTCCCTGATTTGTACAGAATGGGAAGCTGGCCAGAAGAGCTGCGTGGGAGAAGCAAGGAGAGCTGGGGAGAGATATCTCCGGGATCCACTACCTTTAGGTTGTCAGAGGAGTTGCTCCCTTATCACACTATATGATACCATGAAACTATTTTAACAAGGTTCTGGATGACCTCTGAGGCTCTCCCAAATCGGGGTTCCAAATCCAAGCGAATTCAATTCAAAGAAATTGTATTAGTGATCACCCTGTGCCAAGACCTATACCAGGTCCTAAAGAGACAGAGATGAAGTTCCAAGTACTTGTCCCCCAGGTACCTACTGCTTTTTCAAGGGACTGATGCAGGCGCTGGAGCAGAAAGTTTTCTCTTTGAACCCTGCCTCTGCTTCTCACTAGCTGCATGACCTTGGGGAAATTTCTTTTCCTCTTTGAGTTTCAGATTTTTCATCTTTAAAAGGGAAGGTAATAATTCTTCCTTCTTTTTATTGTTTAGAGGGTTAAGTGGAATGATAAAAATAATCCAAGAAGGAAAGAGGGAGAAAGAGAGGGAAAGAGAAAGGAAGAAAAAAGGGGGGGAGGGGTCATTTTTTTTCTTGGCCTTTAGGCTTTTTAAGAATGAGAATAGGAGCCAGGGGGCGGGGTATCACGGCTGCCGCCAGGGCGCCGCGTCCGGGGACTTGTGGGTGTTACACTGACTGACAGCTCCGCTACCGCGGACCCGCCCTCTGCCCTCACCAGCCGAGTGGTGGTCAGGCCCGGGTAGCTCTGCGAGGCGGTGGCCAGAGAGGGATCCATGGGGATAGTGCACGCCCGGAGTTTGGAGCCTCTTCCAGCTAATGGACCTGATTTTGGAGCATTAGAAGAGGCTGAGTTTGTTGAAGTTGAACCTGAAGCCAAACAGGAGATTCTTGAAAACAAAGATGTGGTTGTTCAACATGTTCATTTTGATGGACTTGGAAGAACTAAAGATGATATCATCATATGTGAAATTGGAGATTATTTTAAGACGAAAAAACCTTATTGAGGTGATGCGGAAACCTCACGAAGCTGGAGAAAAATTGCTTCGCCTAGGAATATTTAGACAAGTAGATGTTCTGATTGATACGTGTCAAGGTGATGATGCGCTTCCAAATGGGTTGGAGGTTACCTTTGAAGTAACTGAATTAAGGAGATTAACGGGCAGTTATAACACCATGGTTGGGAACAACGAAGGCAGTATGGTGCTTGGCCTCAAACTCCCTAATCTTCTAGGCCGTGCAGAAAAGGTGACTTTTCAGTTTTCCTATGGAACCAAAGAGACTTCGTATGGCCTGTCCTTCTTCAAACTACTGCCCGGAAACTTCGAGAGAAACTTCTCTGTAAACTTATATAAAGTTACTGGCCAGTTCCCTTGGAGCTCATTTCAGGAGACAGACAGAGGAGTGTCTGCCAAGTACAGCTTTCCCATATGGAAGACCAACCACACTGTCAAGTGGGAGGGTGTGTGGCGGGAGCTGGGCTGCCTCTCCAGGACAGCGTCCTTCGGGGTCTGGAAGGAAAGTGGGCGCTCGCTGAAATCACCTCTTTCGCATGCAATGGTCATCGACTCACGGAACTCCTCCATCTTGCCCAGAAGAGGTGCTCTACTGAAAGTTAACCAGGAGCTGGCCGGCTACGCCGGAGGGGACATAAGCTTCATAAAAGAAGATTTCGAGCTTCAGTTGAATAAACAACTTTTATTTGATTCCGTTTTCTCAGCGTCTTTCTGGGGTGGGATGCTGGTGCCCATTGGCGATAAACCATCAAGTATTGCGGACAGGTTTTACCTCGGAGGACCAACCAGTGTGCATGGGTTCAGCATGCACAGCGTTGGGCCACAGAGTGAAGGCGACTACCTGTGTGGAGAGGTGTACTGGGCCGGTGGCCTACACGTGTACACCCCACTGCCTTTCCGGCCAGGCCAGGGTGGCTTCGGGGAGCTCTTCAGAACACACTTCTTCCTCAACGCGGGGAACCTCTGCAACCTCAACTACAGGGAGGGCCCCAAGGCTCATATCCGGAAGCTGGCCGAGTGCATCTGCTGGTCTTATGGTGCCGGCATCATCCTCAGGCTTGGCAACATTGCCCGGCTGGAACTGAATTACTGTGTTCCCATGGGCATGCAGAAGGGTGACAGGACATGTGATGGTGTCCAGTTTGGAGCCGGGATCAGGTTCCTGTAGCTGACACGTGTGCTCGAGAGCCTGCAGGAGGAGCTCTGGGACTCGGGGCCATGCACCTTCTAGCCGAGTAAACACGCGCCGTTCTTTGCAGTCCTCGTGGGAAACCATGTCAATAAATTTTAAAGACAAAAACAAAAGAAAACAAAAAAAGAATGAGAATAATCAATAGGAATGAAGAAGAAAATACAACAAAAAATCCTTACCCAAGGAGGGGTAGCCAAACTAAGAGTGAAGCCTTGGATACAACAATTGGGCTAAAAATTAATTACATAGAAGTTTCATAATTTTATTTTATTATTTATTTTTTTAAAGATTTTATTTATTTGATAGAGACACAGCGAGAGAGGGAATACAAGCAGGCAGTGGGAGAGGGAGAAGCAGGCCTCCTGCCGAGCAGGGAACCTGATGTGGGGCTCGATCCCAGGACCCTGGGATCATGACCTGAGCCGAAGGCAGATGCTTAATGACTGAGACACCCAGGCACCCCTTGAAGTTTCCTAATTTTATAGTACCTACTATTAGCCTTTGCCCTTTGGGAACACATACAGCTTCACAACCAGAATTTCCAGGTAATCTGCCTAGTCACTGAGGGACAAAGGATCTGTTTGGTCCATGTTTCCCAGAGACCCCAGATAAATGGGAAATTGGGGTGCCTTGGACAATGGTGGAAGAAGGAAGAGTCAGAGCCTGCTGAGTCTACCTCCTAGATACAGAGTAGACAACAGTGTGTGGGTGGCAAAGGAAGCTGGGAGGGGTAAGATTACATGGCCATGGTAAATTATTTCTACCTTACAAAAAATTTGTAGTTTCTATATTGAAACAAGTATGAAGAATATATAGAAATATTTTATACAAATAGCTTTTCTGTTTATTTTAGTTTATTACGTCCCAGTGGTTACAACTGGAGGACCTAGTCCTATCCCTACCCTCAACCCCCTTTAACCAAATGCTCTGTAGAAGAGAGAAATGTAATGACCTTGAGACAGTATCAAACACTGACCAACATCCCAATATGCAACCTGGACATCCTTTTGTTTTTCAGAGTCTTACCTCCCCAACTATGCTGTAAGCACCTTGAAATCAAGAGTCATGTCTTCATCTCTATTTGTAGGAATTCTTAGCATAGTGCTGGTCTCAATAAATCATTACTTGGAAGACTCACCAGTCTTCATCTCTCACCAAAATTATTCCATTATTTACATTTACATTGTATGATTAACAACCAACCATGGTAAATCAAAATAATCAGCTTTCAATTGGCTAAATAGATTTGTTAGCATAGTAAATAATTATTCACCAGTAAATGAATTAGCCTAATTTGTTTAAGTGTAGGTCATAGATAAAACATCATGTTCCCATCATTTTAAGATATTGATTTGAACAGGAGATAAAGTCAGACAAAGGCCATGACTTTAGCACTGGATGAAGGCAAGTTAATTTAAAGGAAACCAATCAGTCCAGCACCACGCCAGCTGCCATGAGAGATAATGAAAGTACCATTGCCCTGTCCTCAAGGAGTTCTGAATCAAATTGAATAGTCAAGACATGCATGGCAATTAGGAAATAATAAAGACACTGTATATCCAAAACAAAAAGATGTAGAATAAATCAGCACTTTCAGATAGAAGGACTCCTTTTAAAAATAACATTCATTTATTAAATCAGAAAAAATATATAACCAAATATTAAAAACATAGGTAATATGTCCTTCTAAGATTAGGACTATTGACACTTGGTATATCCCCAGAGTCATTTCTGAACAAATAAAAGGTATTTTTTTTAAAGATTTATTTGTTTATTTGAGAGAGAGAAAAAGAGAGAGAAAATGGGGGGAGGGGCAGAAGGCGAGAATCTCAAGCAGACTCCCCACTGAGCATGGAGCCTGATGTGCGCTCAATCTCATGACCCTGAGACCATGACCTGAACCAAAACCAAGATTCGGACACTTAACAGATTGAGCCCCCCAATGCCCCCAAATAAAAGGTATTTTAAAGAAAAGATCACCATAAAACAAATTTTAAGTTAATTATTTATACTCAATAACATATTATGAACAAAATTGAAGATACTCTTTTTGTTTTTTAGAGAGAGAGATAGAGCATGTGGGCACATGCACGTGAGTGGAGGGGAAAAAACAGAAAGAGAGGGAGAGAATCTTAAGATCTTGATATCGTGACCTGAGATGAAATCAAGAGTCGGACACTAACCAACATAACCCAGGTGCCCCCAAAATTGAAAATATTCTTACCAAATTGCAGATTACACAAGGCTAAGGAGGAGAGCCACTGAGGAAAGAATCACAATCTAGAAAGATCTTGCCAGAAGAGAATAAGGGCCAGACTAACAAGATTAAATTTAACAGAAATACCTCTAAAATCCTTACCTTAGATTGAAAGCACGTGAATCAACAGTGTCATTGACTGTCAGAATGCTGATGTAACCTACGCTGTCTCAAGGAAAGGAAAATGCTCCATAATAAGAAGGGAAAGTCCTTCTCTAGGTTGTGCTGATCTGACCATTACTTTGAGCTTTATACTTAATTTTGTGGCAAGGTTGGTCAAGAGGACAAGAAGCAAGATGCATATTATGTCATGTGAGTCATCATTGCAAGAGCTAGTGGTGCTTAGCTGGAAAAGAGGAGACTTTACCACTCGGTGTGTGCGTGTACCTGTGTGTGTGTGTGTGCATGTGTGTGCATGTGGATGTGGGGAAATTCTTGGCAACACACACACACAAAGAGTTATCCTGAAAAAGAATGATTTGATGTATTTTGTGTAAATTCATAGGGCAAAAATAGTTGGACAACTCTGAAATCATTCCCACAAGCACCCTAGGAGGAATAATTATATAAACATCTGAGCCCTCCAACAATGGAACAGAATGTCTTTGTGGTAGCAAGTTCCCCTTTCTCTGAAACGACTTAAACAGAGGTAGAATAGGGAATGTGGAAGAGAGATTCCTGCCATTGGACTACAAGAATCCTGCAACCCCTTCCAACTCTAAGATTATGAAATAAAGTGAAAGAATATTACTGAACTAAATTAATAATTTTTACTCTTGATTTGTATATTTGTGTATACATGTGTGTGGGTATATGGGTGTGTCAAATCAAAATTGTCAAATATTTAGGTCTTGGAAACTTTCTTTTAAAAAGTACATCTTGAGGGGCACCTGGGTGGCTCAGTTGGTTAGGCGTCTCCCTTTGGCTCAGGTCATGATCCTGGGGTCCTGGATAGAGCCCTGCATCGGGCTCCCTGCTCAGCAGGGAGTCTGCTTCTCCCTCTCCTGCTGCCCCTCCTTCCCATTTGTGTGGTCATTCTCTCTCTCTCTCTCTCTCTCTCCATCTCAAATAAATAAATAAAATCTTTTAAAAAAATACACCTTGAGCTTAAACCTTAAAAAAGAGTACCCGCTTACTTCTCCATGAGGTAGTAGGGCAAGACAGACTAAGTCTGAGTTCCAAATGTGCCTCATACTAGCAGTATGACCTTGAGAAATATGGGTAAACTCTTGGGAGTCTTATTATCCCCATTTCCCATTTTATAAATGAAGAAATAACCTACAGTCAAAGGAGCATTGTGAGGATAATGCTATCACATTGCCTGACACACATTAAATAGTTAATACACAGAAGCTGTTGTTTTTGGTATTATACTGGTCTTTCCCATCCCTTTCTTGGCAGCCCTCCCTTTCTCTTCTTTCTCTCCTGTTTCTCTTCTTCCTCCCTAACTTTATCTTTCAAGGCACCATCAGTTTATCTCTATGTCAATATACACCTGTCTCATCTCTCCTGTGATTCTGAGTGGTGTTTAAGGAAGATTGGACAGGCAAGGGTGTGCAAGGTATGGAATGTAAGCAGAATGGTATGAGAGCGCAAAGTCAAAGGAGAGCATGCCAGAGAAGCATGGGAGACCAGCTCTTTCCCTTCCTTATTTCCTCCCTCTGCCCTCCTCCCCTCCCCCCACCAAAAAAGAATAGAAACAGGAAGGAAGACCAATGGAGGAAAAAATACGTCAAAAGGGTAGGAGTGTGAACATCAGAAAAGGCAGGATCTCACCCAGGAGAGGCTCAGGAGGAAGGAAGAAGCAAAAGACACACCACCGGGCCCTGAGTGAGTGGAATGAAAAAGACAGATGATTTTAGAAAAGATAACTAACGAGTCTCTGATAACTCTAATTTTCTGGGCCTTGGTGAGCTTTGCTTAAGATTCGACTAAATGGAAATATAAGTAGCTGAGAAAGAAGCCAGTGGATAGGAACTGACATAATGGACTATATTGACTCTCAGAGATATAAGGGACCTTCTTAAAAGCATAATATTTTACATGATCATTTGTCAGGCTTCCTCTGGGTGAGTGAGCTCCTTGGGGGAAGGTAAAGGGGTTGGCTAACCTTAGTGTTTTCTTTAAAGTGCACCCTGCATTGTGCTAGAAATCTCGCAGCTTTACTGAGCAGACAGGGAGGGGGAAAGGACATAGGTGCCCACCGCCATCTTCCTTTCTTCCAGGGGCCTCAGCAGATGAGCGCCCAACTAAGATCTGACACTCGCTTTCCTCTTCCCTCCACTTGCCTCTCTAACCCATGGTCTTCTCTGGCAGGGCCCTTGTTTGAAAGAATTAAACTGCTCTTAACCTTCTTAACCTTCCTGCTCTCACAGGGTAGAACTGATCTACAAGCCATCCGGACATTTACCCAGTGGATCTACCGAGTTCCTTTAAATCCCTCCCTCCACCCCAATTGCCTACCCTCAGCTCTTGCCTCTTCCTCCTCTGCACGCAGTGGTGGGAAATCTCCTCACATCCCAGCCTGTGATGATCTTCCCCTCCCGTTATCCTCTTTGCCAGTAGCCCTTTTGTGGATTTGGACCTTGTTAAAAGACCCAGATGCAAAAGACCAAACTCAGAAGTTCCAGAAATAGAGCCTGGGAATCTATACTTGCACAAATCCACAGGTGACACACATTATTTGAGAACCCTTGGATTCTGTGTGATTGTTTAGGACTTCACTCTACATCCCCCTATATTCTGTATTAATTTTTAATGAGCTAGATCAAGCATCCAAAGTAAGCTGTGATCATACTTCTATCCTGGGCCCATCATTTATTTTTCTTGATATTTCCCTTCCCTGGCACAGGAAGAAGTGC